CCCTTCTTCTGGAAATGTTTTGTCTTTCCCCCTCCTTTCCCTAACCATGAATGCCTTCATCCTGCCAAAAAAAAAAAACAGACAGTATACCTTTCTCCCTTTCTAGGACGCTCCCCTGACCTCACCAGGCTAAATTCTGACTTATCTTCCACCGAGCTCCCCTTGCTCTGTTATAATACTCTATGGCCATTTCTTAGTCCCAAGGAGCAAAGACTATGTTCCATCTTGTGCTCTTGGTTCCTGACACAGAGGAGACATTAATGTTGATTAGATGACTCCTAAAGTATTGTTGTTGAAGAAGAAATATCAAACGTTTTGTTCTGATAGGCTGGAAAGACAGATCGAAAAGAATTTGTGAGGAAGAAAACCAAAGTGAATCCATTTTCCAGTTCGACAAATAAAGAAAAGAAAAAACAGAAGAACTTTATGATGATGCGGTATAGCCAGAATGTCCGGTCAAAAAATAAGCGTTCCTTCCGAGAAAAACAGGTGAGCTCCACTTGAAGCTTGGGTGGCAGGAACAGTACTGTAATTCCAAGACTGCTTTACATTTGAGATGGAGTTGTGCCTTCTGTTGACTGGGTATTACTGTGTGTGTCTTGTGGTTAATGAGAGCATTGCTGGAGAACATGGAGAGGTGAGAAGGAGTCAGGGCATGTAAGTCCCAGACCTCACTTGGTTGAGACTCTGCTGTGGGGCCAGAAGGGAATCCATTTTCCTCCAGTATAAGTAAAGGAATACAAGTTCGATTATCCGTGAGGCTCCTTCCCATGCTAAAATTCTCTGACATTTGATCTGTGAAATATGATATCAAAATTAATTGAATAACTTTTTAGTGCCAGTTTTATGCTTGGTTTCGTTTTGTCTTGTTTTTTTTTTTTTTGTTTTGTTTTTTTTGAGACAGGGTCTCACTGTGTTACACAGGCTGGGTACAACGGCCCAGTCACAGCTCACTGTAGCCTCGCAGCTCATTGCAGTTTCCACCTCCCAGGCTCCAGCAATTCTTCCACCTCAGCCCTCCCTCCAAGTAGCTGGGACTTCAGGCGTCTGCCACCACACCTAGCTAATTTTTGTATTTTTGTAGAGATGGGGTTTTGAGGTGTTGCCCAGTCTGGTCTGGAACCGCTGGACTCAAGCAGTCTGCCCACCTCAGCCTCTCATAGTGCTAGGATTTATAGGCGTTGGTACTTTTCAGAAACCAATAATTTTTTGTGGTAATATCTCAGAAACAGTTTCAGAAAAACAAATGTGAAATAAACGGGTCTGTGTTGGCATCATCCTTCCTGTATGTGCCCTTTTGCAAAGCCTTGATGTTTACAGGCTTTTGTGATTACATTTTATCCATTCATAGCCTTTGAATGGCAATCCCATGCTACTTAGCAGCTTGTTTATTTCAGTTATTCACTGTGATAAAACAAGTTTATGCTTTTGTATCTTTCTCTCCTGGCGGTGTAGCAGTGTATCTAAATGTCATTCTGAAGAATGGCTAGGATATCAGCTCTGGGTTAAACAGTCTCATATTCTGAATTAGGGTTCCTAAATAGCTAGCCAAGGATCAGCCTGCCAGCACTCAAAGTAACAGCCAACCCCCTAGGGCAGTGCTGTCTGTGAGTTCCAAGTCAGTATTCACAGAATTAAGGTACCAATTAGCTCTCCCTGTTACTCTTTCTAGTTCTAAATGGTGTTCAACAACATCATTTAAGTAGTGACAGCATTTTTAATAGAAGCTGTTGAAATTGGGGTAAAAGGAAAGGTACAACTTAGGATTTTAAGTACTCTAAATTTTGCCACATTCTCCTAAAATTATAATTGGATTGACTTAAATCCATTAGTCTGTCCTTCACTGGCCCTTACAGACATGTCAGGGTTGAGGAAATAGTAATCACCCTGTTGTAGGCCTTGTTTCATTATGAGGTTCTGTTACATTATGAGCTTGTTACATTTTAGTTAAGGCTAAAGGCATTTTAGTTCCCCCCACCCCCACTTCCTTTGTTTTTTGGCATGCCTTTTCTGGCATGATGGGGAAGCCCAGCTTTGTTCCTTGCCGGCACCTCAAGTCATACCGTAACTCTCAAAGATTAAAGAATCTTTTTGAGGGCCGGGTGTGGTGGCTCAAGCCTGTAATCCCAGCACTTTGGGAGGCCGAGGCGGGTGGATCACGAGGTCAAGAGATCGGGACCATCCTGGTCAACATGGTGAAACCCCATTTCTACTAAAAATACAAAAAATTAGCTGCGCATGGTGATGTGTGCCTGTAATCCCAGCTACTCAGGAGGCTGAGGCAGGAGAATTGCCTGAACCCAGGAGGCAGAGGTTGCAGTGAACTGAGATAGCGCCATTGCACTCCAGCCTGGGTAACAAGAGCGAAACTCCGTCTCAAAAAAAAAAAGAATATTTTTGAGAGTAAATTAAAACTTCATTGGACATATGCACTTGTTGGTTCAAGAATGTTTTTTCTTATTCTGCAATTTTCTTGCCATTTGGAACCTGATATTAATCAGAATTTCTATGTGTGTTTCCTTGCCATGTATTTTCTTCACGATTGCTCCATTGTAAACATAACTCTAAGTTCCTGATGTTCTCTATTTCCTTTAGAAAAATACTGTTCAATAGAAATATAATATGAACCACATATATCACTTAAAAATAGAGATGAAATAATTGTAATAATATATCTTATTTAATCCAGCACATCTAAAATAGTATTGTTTCAACATGTAGCCAATATAAAAGTTTTGAATGATATATTTTACATTTTTGTTTTTGAACTAGCTGAAATCAGCAGGTCTTTTACAGTGTAGCATATCTCAGTTTGGACTAGCCACATTTCAAATGCTCAGAGTCACATGTAGTTAGTGGCTACTCTATTGGACACAACAGTTATAGAGCATCCCCAAAACTCCCGTGACCCCAAGGGCCCTGTAGGAAAGGAGCATCACACTTCATGCGCCACTCTACCCCTTGGTGATATTTAAGTGTCTTAAATAAAGGGATCTTATATGGCTTGAAAGTGTACATGAGGTCTTACTGTAAATTGTTAGAATATGAAGAGGTGAATGGGATGAGACTAGAAGAGGGAAGTAAAGCATAAGATAGGGAAGGAGAGGAGGATCTTGCAGTAAAGCCTATAGAAAGATGAAGGAAGAAGAGGGGGATATACCTGTTTCTTATCTTCAGTTGGTGACATTTGAAGGGCAAGGAGCTGAAACGTGTGAGAGTAGCCTGTGCTTTTCCACAAAACTTTTAATGAGCAGAATTAAATTCCCCTAACCAACGTTAGCTAACACATTTAGTTCTTAGCAGGAGACTTCACATTCCAGACTTTCCATTTATTAACTTGTTTAATCAGTATACAACAGTATGAACAGTTATTGTGATTAAACCAGTTTTGCAGATGAGAAAAGAAGACACAATTAGATGAATCTGGAAAGTACCTCCTTAGCCAAATTAAGTTGAAATGAACTTGTAGATTTTTGTTCTGCCTTAAGTATCCCAACTATTCTGCTTTTCTGCAAAGACATACCAAGACCCGGGTGTAAGCTAAAGGTAAGGAGTCAACTGAAAATCATAAAATCCAGAAAGTTTGAACATGTGTGTGTAGAGCCAGGTAACTTCTGCTCTCAAACTGTTTTACGCATATCTTGTTAAAATTTAAGCTAGAATTTTTAAATAAAAATTAAATAAAAGCCAGAGTTTTTTTAAGTTTCTAGGACAAACAATAGTGCTTGGGAATTAATGGAATAATATCCATCACAAACTTTCGATCTGTACATCACCCTTGGTTACTTTTTCTTTCTTTAATTTTGGTTTATTTTTGATCATATTTAATATTATGTTTGTTTTCTTTTGGGAAATGTAAAACTTTTTCAGGGCTTTTCTAGGTTCACTTCAGACACTGATTGTTCAGTCTTCTTTTTCTCTAGATCCTAAATTCTTCACCTTCCATTTCCGCCCTAGGGATCTTAAAGAACCCAACCCCTGGTTAGATAAGAACTCTAAGGGATGAAAGCCTAGATTGAGTCTAATTACGATATACACTTCACTGCTTTCATTCATTTTCACTTTTACATACTTCTAACACAAAATAATTAAGCTAAAAATTAGAACCTGTGTTAACTTGAATAAGTATTTTGCTATAAGCTACGATTGTCAGGGCTTCAGTTTCCGAGTTATTATCTTCATGTTTGAGCCAGTATAAAGTGTTAGTGTTAGCATTTACTTAGAACATTTTCTTAGTTTGTTTATTGCATAAAACAAATCCATTTGAAAATCAGCAAATAAGGTAACATTTTTCTGTGTATCAGATTGTATGTTGATAGAGTCATCATAAATCTGCACAAGTTCAGAATGCCATTTTAAAGTCTTTGAATAATCCATGCATGCTGTATTTAGTGGAACATATGTGATATTGGAAAAGGTGATTGCAAAGAAAAGTCTGTTTTCCTGTTACTTTTAATTTAGACAGTGTATCCCATCCACAACTCCAAAATATTACGAGCCATATAGACCAAATAAGTACTATTTATTATCCGTGGAGACAAGGATACTGTAGTCTGTGCATTCTGTAGCTGCTCCTGTTTTGAGCTTAGGCCTTCATGACCTGGGAACAGCAGTCAAGAGCTTTGCATATTTCCTAGCAGTAATATGCCCTATCCTCAATACAGATTTGATCTGTTTTGGAATATTTTATCATTTATAGTTTTTCAGGATGCTTTATTGACTTGGTGATTAATTTTTAGTAAACTTTCCTATAACCAATTTTGTATAATGGGTACCCAAGAGTTATCATGTTTAAATACTTTTTCATCTTACAGTTGGCGCTGCGAGATGCACTTTTGAAAAAGAGAAAAAGAATGAAGTAACTTCCCAGCAAGTTTTCCATTCCAAGCAGAAGCTAAGGTTGTGTCATTACTCTGAAAATTAGTAAATCAAGCATGTTTGTTTACATTAAAAACTCCAGAAACACTGTATTGTGAAAACTGCTGAAAATGTGGCAGCAGTTTGGTGTTTTTATTTTGGAGACAGCTAATGGTGGGAATGTTGATGTAAATAGTGGTGGTAGTATAAAATCATTTCATTTATCATTCATGCAAAAGAAAGTATTGAGTGCCTATTGTCACTGTAAATACAAAAGGATGAGCCATCACCCCTTCACTCCAGGCATTGACAGCTTAGTTGTGGGTGTGGACACACATGTGTGTATTTACAGTGCAGTGTAAATAGTTCTCTAGGAGAGGAAGGTCCATATTTCTATGAGGTCACTGAGACCTTATGGACTAACCTCTGTGGGGATAGGAATTATATGTTCTTGTAAAACAAAACAAAACAGGACAGTGTTACAAGAGTAAGAGATTCTTACTTGTACATAGGCTTACCTGCTGAAAACAGGCCCTTGCTGTACAGATTTTGGGTACATGATTTAGCTCTTTTAGTCAATCCAAAAGATTTAAATGACCCCCTCTTTTTTTTTGAATGCCATGTAAAGCCTTTTTGGTTAAGAGCTCACTTTTAAAATTGCCTTAAGTATAAATAGTACCTTTGGAATGTATTTAGTTCATTATTTGAGCTGCCTTCATACTGGTTTCCTCAGCCTTCCTTCATCATGTAATATTTTCAGCCCACTGTTTACCTTGCCTCAATAAAAAGTTTCTAATGCCAAATAGGTACCATTGTGTGTGGAGTGGTGTGTGATGTTCTGCCTTCCACAGACATGCTGCATCCATTTCGGGGATAGCCTCTTTGCATGCAAGTTGTTGCATTTGGAAATAGTGTGCTGCCTTTGGCATCAGATTTCTTAGATAATGTTGTAGTAGATGTTACCTCAAGTTAGACTAAAGGGCAGTTTTCTGCACTCTGACTCAAAATTAGAAAGCAATTTCTAAAACCAGTGTTCTTAATTCCTTTCTAGTTTTGTCTGTTTGTTCACTTTCTGCATTCAACTTCAGTTTTGTTTGAATGAGACTTAGAGACGTTCCCTAAAATGCCCCAGATTGTCTATTGGGGGATTAGTAAAGCTGCCAGAGTCAACCCCCAGGAACTTTGGTGCTTCACAGGAAGTGTTCGATGCAAATTTGTATATTTTAGACCTGACACTGCTCCATTTTCTTTTCGCATTTTTGAACTGGGTGTCTCTGTGCATGTCTATTCAGAATACCAGCTAGCATTCACAGCTTTATTGTGTGAATTGTGATGGTGCCTGGAAGTTTCATCCTTCCTCTAGATTTTCCCACTCAAATACCAAGAGGCGAAAGTCCATTCTGTGTTCTGACTTCTGTCTTTCTACTGTGGCCTCACCCTCTTCTTAACTAGTCTTTCTTACATGCAAGACAGACAGATATAGTATGTGGTTTATAAATGTGTATTCTGAACTTTTCTTTCTTTAATCCCATAGTATCTTATTTCTGTCTGATTCCTTTTATTATTTTCTAAATCTTCTCTTGAGAATGTTTTGTTTGCTCTCCATTTGAAGATGAGATTCTCAGAAGGGTGAATGCTTCAGCAGAGGATAGGTGAGCTTGCAGAGTGACTTCTACCTTGAAGAAATCATCAGTGTCTGAACTTGAGCTATTTAGTCTTAAATTTCATTAATGCAGAAAATGAAGCCATTCAGGGATGAACTTAAACCCTGCCCAGGCTTATAATGTATAAAAGTGGTGTATAAATCCAGAATGCTGATTTATTATCTATGTGATCTCACCAAGTGGCCATGGTTAATATAAACGTTATTTATTCATGGTCTAATCCTTTGAAAATTTAGTCTATATAGACGCATTGCAACTCCATTTTAACTAGAATGTTTACTTAGAATATTCTGTTCTTTAAGCTATTTTAGATAACATTTTAAAACTACATATAGATAATATAGTTCTATCAGGTAACATTCTTTCATTAATTGCTTATGTTCTTTTGAAAGATTTTTTAAAATATGAGTTTTTTTGAAAGATCTTGAACATGAATAAAATGGTAGGACAATGACTTGGAGCCTTTTCTCTTATAAGGTCAAGGTTCTAGAGATAACTTTTTCAATCCTAGTGTAGTCTTTGGTCTGAACATGTTTACAAATGCAAATAAAAGCAGAGAGCACCTGAAGAAGTTTATAAAAGTTCAGGAGTACTGACATCAGGTAGTAGAAAAGAAAAATGTACAGGCCAGATTTTCCAATCAGAAGAGTGTAGTGTGGAAAAATCTCTAGGGCCAATGATTTTAATCAGTGAACCTCTTGAGAACATGGAAGAAGCAAGGGATGAAAATGAAGGATAAATAAACTCTGGGCAATCACTGTACCCTTCAGGTGAAAAGGAGTCTGAGAGCTCTGCTTCTACTAGTCTCCCTGTCCAGGAAAGTCAAGCTCAAAGCAATGAATCTTTGTTTTCAAAATATACCAACTCTAAAATACCTTATTTCCTTTTGTTTCTGATATTTCTTGTTACAATCTACCATTATGACTTAATGATTGGCTTGGCATTCTACGTTTTGTCATTGTCCTGGCTGTCCTGGGAAGAGGGTAGACAAAAAGAGTCTGTCAAAAAAAAGTAACCCCAGCACTATTATTATTCTCTCTTAAAAGACAAGCTATTTCATCCCAAACATTTGAATTGGTGAAAGAGACTATTCATTGTTCAAAGATCCAGTGCAGTTTTTCTCTTGAAGGATAATTTAAAAAGGAATGTGAATAAGTTTGCTCCTTCATATAAGTAATTATTCTATATAGGACCATTATATTTGGATCATTAAATACCTATATGAATATGAGATCTGAAGCACGTCAAGTTTAAATTAGGTACAGCTGTTGCTCCTCAGCAGGCTATGAAGTTGCAGTGCTTCACATCTCTTCACTACTTAAAGTGCTATTTCTTGCATTCATTTCTCTAGCAATAAAGCTTAATTTTGTTTCCCTAAGAGTACATATTTCCCCCTAAGGTTTTAAAAAACAGATAAAACGTGGACAATGGGAGATAATTTTTTGGGCTTTTAGTGTTGAACATGAAATTTGTATTTAACACTGTTACATTGATCAAATATTTTAACCTTTCGTATTTTTAAGAAAACCCATATATATTGAAACGTGCAAACTTAAAGAAACACATTCTGTTCACTTGAGTAATACTTGATGCACACAAACACACACGTGTCTTACACCTTTATAGCTACAAAGTAAGGGCATTCATAAGCAAAATCTGACAAAGACTGAAACAATTGGGAGATTGTCTTTCAATTCTGCAAAATTCTGTGGGTGGCCTGTCATTAAGCAATGCTTTTCTGAGGGAAGACTAACACAGCTGAACTATTTAGATGTCAACTATTCAGAGTTGAAAATGTAAACTAAAAGTTCCACAAGCATTGTTTCAGAATGAATTTTGTACCTATAAAGCGTAAGGCATTAAATGGTAATAAAAACTCCAAATGGAAAAAAACAAAAACAAAGATCCAAGATGGCTGATCGTCAGCAGCTCGGGATTGTGGCTCCCAGTGACAGCACAGAAAATGAGAGGATGCCACACTTTTAGACGAATTTTGTTGCTCACGGACCAGGATTCCCAGTGGAGGAGCCCCACAGTTCACCACCGCAACTCTTGTGGCCAGCGCAGCAGTTTTGCCGGTGGTTTTGCCGGCGCCTTGGCACGGCACTTTTTGGTGCAGTCAGAAAAGCACCATCAATCTTAACGCCACTGTTTAAGCCGGCACAGTGGGTTGCTCAGATTCCGGCACTGGTGAATCAATAAATTGGATGTCCACTCAGAAACCTAATTAGAAAGGCGGTAATTACAAACACGACATATGGATAAATTTATAACAAAGGGAAAAAACCAGCCTAAAAAGGCTGAGAACACCCAAAATCAGAATGCCTCTCCCTCTACAGGGGATTACAGTTCCTCATCAGCAACGGAACAAGGTCTGATGGAGAAAGACTGTTCCATTAACAGAGGCAGGCTTCAGAGGGTGGATGATAAGAAACTTCTGGGAGTTAAAAGAACTTGTTCTAACCAAATGCAAAGAAACTAAGAACTTTGAAAAAAGGTTTGATGAAATGCTAACAAGAATAGATGATATAGAGAGGAATATAAGTGAATTAACGGAGTTGAAAAATACAACACAAGAACTTCGTGAAGTATGCACAAGTTTTAACAGCCGAATTGGTCAAGCAGAAGAAAGGATATCAGAGGTTGAAGACCAACTTAATGAAATAAAATGAGAAGACAAGAATAGAGTAAAAAAGATAAAAAGGAAAAAGCAAAGTCTCCAAGAAATATGGGACTATGTGAAAAGACTTAATCTACGTTTGATAGGTATACCTGAATGTGACGGAGAGAATGAATCCAAGCTGGAAAATACTCTTCAGGATATTATTCAGGAAAACTTTCCCAACCTAGCAAGGCAGGACAATATTCAACCCCAGGTAATACAGAGAACACCACAAAGATATTCCTCAAGAAGAGCAACCCCAAGGCACATAATCGTTAGATTCACCAGGGTTGAAATAAAGGAGAAAATACTAAGGGCAGCCAGAGAGAAAGGTCAGGTTACCCACAAAGGGAAGCCTATCAGACTCACAGCCGATCTCTCGGCAGAAACCTTACAAGCCAGAAGAGAGTGGGGGCCAATATTTAACATCCTTAAAGAACAGAACTGTCAACCCAGAATTTCACATCCAGCCAAACTAAGCTTTACAATAGAAGGAAAAATAAAATCTTTTGTGAATAAGCAAGTACTCAGATTTCATTACCACCAGGCCTGCTTTACGAGAGCTTCTGAAAGAAGCATTACACATAGAAAGGAACAACCAGTATTAGCCTTTCTAAAAATACACCAAAAAGTCAAGAGTATCAACATAATGAAGAATGTATATCAACTAATGGGCAAAATAGCCAGCTAACATCAAATGGCAATAATCTTAAATTTAAATTGACTAAATCCTCCAATCAAAAGATACAGCCAAAACCCATTGGTATGCCGCATCCAGACCCATCTTACATGCAAGGATACATAAAGAGTCAAAACAAAGGGATGGAGAAAGATTTGTCAATCAAATGGAGAGCAAAAATAAATAAATAAATAAAAAGTAGAGGTTGCAATTCTCACCTCTGATGGAATGGATTTTAAAGCAGCAAAGATCAAAAGAGGACGTAATGGTAAAAGGATCAACGCAGCCAGGTGCGGTGACTCAAGCCTGTTATCCCAGCACTTTGGGAGGCCGAGGCGGGTGGATCACGAGGTCAAGAGATCAAGACCATCCTGGTCAACAAGGTGAAACCCTGTCTCCACTGAAAATACAAAAATTAGCTGGGCATGGTGGCGCATGCCTGTAATCTCAGCTACTCAGGAGGCTGAGGCAGGACAATTGCCTGAACCCAGGAGGCGGAGGTTGCGGTGAGCCGAGGTCGCGCCATTGCACATCAGCCTGGGTAAGGAGAGCGAAACTCCGTCTCAAAAAAAAAGAATCAACGCAACAAGAAGAGCTGACGATCCTGGATGTGTACACACCCAATACAGGATACATAAGACTTGTAAAGAGACTTGGACTCCCACACGGTAGTAGTGGGAGATTTCAACATCAATATTAGATAGATCAATGAGACAGAAAATTAACAAGGATATCCAGGACTTGAACTCAGATCCGGAACGACTTAATAAACATTTATAGAACTCTCCACTTTAAACACACAAGATATGCACTCTTATCAGTACCACATCACACCTACTCACAGGTTTAAATGAATTATTGGTTGGCCATTATTAAGCACAGTTGATGGTATGGGAGGCTTTCAATACCCATTTTTAGACTGCAATTAAGCAACACTTAATTTTAGCCTGGGCAATTAAGCAACACTCCCGTTCTCTCTCCCTCCTCTTCCTTTTTTCTCTTCTTCATTCCTTTCTTTCTTCTCTCTTAAAAAAAAAAAGCAGAGAGCACAGCCAATTCTATACTCCTTAAATAACATAAGCTTATATTTGTATAGACCATTTCTTATGTGGTAAACTTCCTTCTGCAGATTATATTTTCATGTTTTGTCAGTCCAATCCCAGTGTGAAGATGGTTGAATAAAATTGTCATTTGTCCACATGATAGGGTATTATGCAGCCATTATTATAATAAGCAGTTCCCACTGTAAACACTGGAAATTTTTTTATTCTTTTCAAAAAAGAGCAAAACACAAAAATATGTTTAATCTGATTATTACATATAAGGAAATGGGGAATAATAAAAGCCCAAGAGGAAATATGGGACTTGTGTTGGAATTGTGTAGAATTTTGTGTAAGAAACAAAATAACTTTGAAAATGGGGAATAAAAGTCCATTAAAACTCACCCTTCGGAATTTACCTTAAGCCAAGACAAGGATTGATTTGAAAATACTTCAGAGACGCTGGGCATGGTGGCTTATGCTTGTAATCCCAGCACTTTGGGAGGCCGAGGTGGGCAGATCACCTAAGGTCAGGAGTTCTAGACCATCGTGACCAACGTGGTGAAACCGTGTCTCTACTGAAAAAAAGAAAGAAAATACTTCAGAAGAGTTGTTTGTTTTGCCTTCTTAATTACTCTCTTCCTCGTGTTTACTGACTGGGTGGTAGAGTCATCCTTAGTTTGGGACCATCTCTGTGTCTTGCCAACAATACCTGATGTTAGCTAAAGTGTTGTTAATATAGCTATTTGGAAAAATGATTTGTAGTATGTACCAAGAGTCTAAAAAATAGCTAGAACTGTTGACTCAAATCTACTTCTGAGACTCAAAGAAAATGACCCAAAATATGGTAAGAGTTGTGTTTGTGGCTGTGTTTTGCTACAAGTAACAGAATATGCATCTAAAAAGATTCTAGTCGGCCAGGCTAGGTGGCTCACACCTGCGCTTTGGGAGGCAGAGGCAGGTGGATCACACAAGGTCAGGAGTTTGAGACCAGCCTGGCCAACATGGTGAATCTCTGGCTCTACTAAAAATATAAAAATTAGCTGAGCATGGTGACACATGACTGTAGTCCCAGCTACTCAGGAGGCTGAGGCAGGAGAATCGCTTGAACCTGGGAGGCGAAGGTTGCAGTGAGCCGAGATGACACTACTGCATTTCAGCCTGAGCAACAGAGCAAGACTCTGTCTCAAAACAAAAAAAAGGTTCTAGATTCTAACCAGTGGGGCATGGTGGCTCACGTCTGTAATCCCAGCACTTCAGAAGGCTGAGGCAGGCAGATCACCTGAGGTCAGGAGTTCAAGACCAGCCTGACCAAGATGGTGAACCTTGTCTCTATGAAAAATACAAAAATTAACCAGATGTGGTATCACACACCTGTAATTTCAGCTACTTGAGAGGCTGAGGCACAAAAATCACTTGAACCTGGGAGACAGAGGTTGCAGTGAGCCAAGATCATGCCACTGCACTCCAGCCTGGGCAACAGAGTGAGACTCTGTCTCAAAAATAATAATAATAAAATAATGAAGATAAAAATATTCTAACCAAATTGGAATTGACCTCACATAAGCCTGGACAGTTGATGGCCAGGGTTCAGCTGCTCAATGGAACCATCAAGGCCCTGGCCTTTTCTGCTTTGTCATACTTAGTGTGTGTTGAAGCCAGGCTGGATTAGAATGCTGACTGACACAGCTCTATGACCCATATGCAAAGTATTCAACATTTCTGTGCCTTAATTTCTTCATCTGTAAAATGGAGATAATGATGATACCTTGCTTTCATAGACCTCTCTTCAGTGTTTAATCTAAAGTAAAAAGAAGGCACAAAAGTAACATTTCCACATCTATCCCTTTTACTAAGAAAACAAGTTTCACAGATAGCCTTCCCTTAGTTTTCATTAGCCAGAACTAGGTTATTCAGCCACCCTACCAACCAAGGAAGCCAAGAAACCAGGAAATGGGATTGCTGACCTCTTAGCTTAGCTGATCATAACCATCCCAACAAAACTGAGCTTCTGTAAGCAAGGAAGAGGAAGAGAAACTGATTGTGGAGAGACAGCTAGCAATGCCTAACACAAACTATCTATGGGAAAATATTGATTGCAACATAATTTACAATGATAAGAATGGGTGCAAGAAAATTTCTAAAATATTAGAATACTTAAGCAACTTGAGGTATATTACTAGGTGGTGTATTAGTCCATTTTCATGCTGCCAATAAAGACGTACCTGAGACTGGGAAGAAAATGAGGTTTCATTGGACTTACAGTTTCACATGGCTGGGAGGCCTCAGAATCATGGTGGAAGGTGAAAGCACTTCTTACATGATGGTGGCAAGAGAAAATGAGGAAGAAGCAAAAACGAAGACCCCTGATAACCCCATAAGACCTCATGAGACTTATTCACTGTCGTAAGAACAGCACTGGAAAGACCGGCCCCCGTGATTCAATTACCTCCAACTAAGTCCCTCCTACAACACATGGGAATTGTGAGAGAGAGAATTCAAGTTGAGATTTGAATGACGACACAACCAAACCATATCAAGTGAAATAGTCAACCATTAATTACTTTGATTAAAGTTATTTTAAAGGTAAGATATAAATACTATAGTAATGTGAAAAATGTTAGGCTATTATTTTCTTTCTTTTTTTTTCTTTTGACACAGAGTTTTGCTCTTGTTGCCCAGGCTGGAATGTACTGGCGCAGTCTCAGCTCACTGCAAGCTCCACCTGCTGGGCTCATGCCATTCTCCTGCCTCAGTCTCCTGAGTAGCTGGGATAACAGGCGCCCACCACCACACCCAGCTAATTTTTGTATCTTTAGTAGAGACAGGGTTCCACTATGTTGGCCAGGCTGGTCTCAAACTCCTGACCTCAAGTGATCTGCCTGCCTCAGCTTCCCAAAGTGCTGGGATTATACCTGTGAGCCACCGTGCCCTGCTGCTATTATTTTCAAAAGCAGAGTATAAAATGATAAAGAAGCTTGGGCAACATGGTGAGACCTTGTAAAAATTAGCCAGGTGTGATGGTGCGTGCCTGCCATACCAGCTACCCAGGAGGTTGAAGCAGGAGGATCGCTGAGCCCCAGAGGTCAAGCCTGCAATGAGTGGTGTTCAGGCCACTGTAGTTTAGCTGGGTGACAGAGCGAGACCCTGTCTCTAAATAAATAAAATGAACAAGTGGTTTTAAGACAATTTTTTTACACTTTTAATCTCTGAAATTGAGACATATTTTAAAATGTTTGCAGCCAGACAAGAGTCTAGATGTAGTTGTCACTGCCTGCACATTCACAAACCTAGTCTGATATTGTCAGTCGACATCTGGTAACATCAAGCGAGGACCAACATCAAAACTTGCAGAATGAGAATTAGTAGTCTCTATGGAATTTCCATAAAAAAAAAAAAAAAAAACCTGGACTTAAAAAAAAAAATCCAAACTCTTTACTGACATATAAAGAAGAGAACAAGTACCATTAAGTATACTTAAACTCAATGAATTCACAAGCTGAATACATTACTGTAACCAGCACTCAGGTTAAGAAACATTACAAACACCTTGAAATCTCCTTTGTGAGTAGAGAACCCTTAAGAAATGCAGCATCAGTAAGATTTTTATTTTTTTCTTTTAGAGACAGTGTCTTGCTCTGTCACCTAGGCAAGAGTGCAGTGGTGCAGTCGGAGCCCACTTCAGCCTTGAACTTCTGGGCTCAAGAGATCCTCCACAGGCCCAGGCCAGTATGCCCCCCGCTATTAACAAATTTTTTAAAATTTATTTTTAACAGAGACAGGGTCTCACTATGTTACCCAGGCTGGTCTCAAACTTATGACCTCAACTGATCTTCCCACCTTGACCTCCCAAAGTTCAGGGTTTACAGGTGGGAGCCACCGTGCCTGGCCATCACTAAGATTCCTTTTTTTTTTTTTTTCTGAGGTAGAGTCTTAGTCTGTCACCCAGGCTGGAGGGTAGTGAGATGATCTCAGGTCACTGAAACCTCTGCCTCCCAGGTTCAAGTGATTCTCGTGCCTCAGTCTCCCAAGTAGCTGGGATTACAGGCGTCTGCCACCATGCCTGGCTAATTTTTGTATTTTTAGTAGAGAGAGTTTCACCATATTGGCCAGGCTGGTCTTGAACTTCTGACCTCTAGTGATCTACCTGCCTCAGCCTTCCAAAGTCCTGGGATTACAGGTGTGAGTCACCACGTAGAGCCAAGATTCTTTATGGCACAGAAAAGTGGTGGAAAAACATGGGCACCTGTAATCAAATGGTGGTGATTCAGGAGAATCTAATTCTGAATGCAAAGAAACTTAAGCCATACCTTAATTTATTCCACTTTTTAAAAATGTACAACAGTAGATATCTGATTTTCAAATAACTTTGACAAAAGACTTAAGAAAACTTTCAATATATATACATTTTAGAATTACAGTAAGAAAGCATCATATCATAGCTTAAATGGAAATGATTTTTTCGTCAGAGTATATAAAATACTGGTGCTTCCTATAACTACAATTTTGTAAATAAAATATGCATATGAAGATAGTTGCTGGGTTTGGGTTTTGGGAATATAACTGATTGGATTTTTCCCTCTACATTAAAAAAAAATTTTTACAGCTCCTCATAGCCAGGAATTCCTTTACATTTTAAATATTTTGTAATGTTGCTTAGCAAACATTTCTACTAAAATTTTTTTGATCTAGAATACTTCTAGTTCCATCTTAGTAAGATCCAATTTTGGTGTTCTTGCTATTCCTAATATCAGTTAACATCAGAGATGTTTCTAAAAGAAATTTGGCCAAGGAGGAAGAGAAAATTAAGAAGAAAATGAGAACCCTAATTCTGGGAAAAGTACAACAGGGGAAGTTTAAAAGAATTACATGGAAACTAAAAATAAATGATGTTAGACAGAACATCTTGTTTTAAGGATATTTAAATCTTTTAAACATTTTATTATAATTGTAATTTTTAAAAAACATATAGAAAATAATGAAACATGTTCATCTCCCAGTTTTATATAATGTTAATATTTTCCTTTTTTTTTTTTTAAAGAACTAGAACATTAAAGGTATAACTATGTCTCCCCAGCCGTTTCCCCCTCTTCTCAGGGATAACCCTTATCTAGAAGCTGATGAACATTAAGAGTATAACTATGTCTCAGCCACATTCCACCCCCTTCTCAGGGATAACCCTTATCTAGAAGCTGATGAACATTAAGAGTATAACTATGTCTCAGCCACATTCCACCCCCTTCTCAGGGATAGCCCTTATCTAGAAGCTGATGAACATTAAGAGTATAACTATGTCTCACTCAGCCACGTTCCACCCCCTTCTCAGGGATAACCCTTATCTAGAAGCTGATGAACATTAAGAGTATAACTATGTCTCAGCCATATTCCACCCCCTTCTCAGGGATAGCCCTTATCTAGAAGCTGATGAACATTAAGAGTATAACTATGTCTCACTCAGCCACGTTCCACCCCCTTCTCAGGGATAACCCTTATCTAGAAGCTGATGAACATTAAGAGTATAACTATGTCTCACTCAGCCACTTTCCACCCCCTTCTCAGGGATAACCCTTATCTAGAAGCTGATGAACATTAAGAGTATAACTATGTCTCAGCCACATTCCACCCCCTTCTCAGGGATAGCCCTTATCTAGAAGCTGATGAACATTAAGAGTATAACTATGTCTCACTCAGCCACGTTCCACCCCCTTCTCAGGGATAACCCTTATCTAGAAGCTGATGAACATTAAGAGTATAACTATGTCTCAGCCACATTCCACCCCCTTCTCAGGGATAACCCTTATCTAGAAGCTGATGAATATTAAGAGTATAACTATGTCTCAGCCACATTCCACCCCCTTCTCAGGGATAACCCTTATCTAGAAGCTGATGAACATTAAGAGTATAACTATGTCTCAGCCACATTCCACCCCCTTCTCAGGGATAACCCTTATCTAGAAGCTGATGAACATTAAGAGTATAACTATGTCTCAGCCACATTCCACCCCCTTCTCAGGGATAACCCTTATCTAGAAGCTGATGAACATTAAGAGTATAACTATGTCTCAGCCACATTCCACCCCCTTCTCAGGGATAACCCTTATCTAGAAGCTGATGAACATTAAGAGTATAACTATGTCTCACTCAGCCACGTTCCACCCCCTTCTCAGGGATAACCCTTATCTAGAAGCTGATGAACATTAAGAGTATAACTATGTCTCAGCCACATTCCACCCCCTTCTCAGGGATAACCCTTATCTAGAAGCTGATGAACATTAAGAGTATAACTATGTCTCAGCCACATTCCACCCCCTTCTCAGGGATAACCCTTATCTAGAAGCTGATGAACATTAAGAGTATAACTATGTCTCAGCCACATTCCACCCCCTTCTCAGGGATAACCCTTATCTAGAAGCTGATGAACATTAAGAGTATAACTATGTCTCAGCCACATTCCACCCCCTTCTCAGGGATAGCCCTTATCTAGAAGCTGATGAACATTAAGAGTATAACTATGTCTCACTCAGCCACGTTCCACCCCCTTCTCAGGGATAACCCTTATCTAGAAGCTGATGAACATTAAGAGTATAACTATGTCTCAGCCACATTCCACCCCCTTCTCAGGGATAACCCTTATCTAGAAGCTGATGAACATTAAGAGTATAACTATGTCTCAGCCACATTCCACCCCCTTCTCAGGGATAGCCCTTATCTAGAAGCTGATGAACATTAAGAGTATAACTATGTCTCACTCAGCCACGTTCCACCCCCTTCTCAGGGATAACCCTTATCTAGAAGCTGATGAACATTAAGAGTATAACTATGTCTCAGCCACTTTCCACCCCCTTCTCAGGGATAACCCTTATCTAGAAGCTGATGAACATTAAGAGTATAACTATGTCTCCCCAGCCATTTCCCCCTCTTCTCAGGGATAACCCTTATCTAGAAGCTGATGAACATTAAGAGTATAACTATGTCTCACTCAGCCACGTTCCACCCCCTTCTCAGGGATAACCCTTACCTAGAAGTTGATGAACATTAAGAGTATAACTATGTCTCAGCCACATTCCACCCCCTTCTCAGGGATAGCCCTTATCTAGAAGCTGATGAACATTAAGAGTATAACTATGTCTCACTCAGCCACGTTCCACCCCCTTCTCAGGGATAACCCTTATCTAGAAGCTGATGAACATTAAGAGTATAACTATGTCTCAGCCACATTCCACCCCCTTCTCAGGGATAACCCTTATCTAGAAGCTGATGAATATTAAGAGTATAACTATGTCTCAGCCACGTTCCACCCCCTTCTCAGGGATAACCCTTATCTAGAAGCTGATGAACATTAAGAGTATAACTATGTCTCAGCCACGTTCCACCCCCTTCTCAGGGATAACCCTTATCTAGAAGCTGATGAACATTAAGAGTATAACTATGTCTCAGCCACATTCCACCCCCTTCTCAGGGATAACCCTTATCTAGAAGCTGATGAACATTAAGAGTATAACTATGTCTCAGCCATATTCCACCCCCTTCTCAGGGATAGCCCTTATCTAGAAGCTGATGAACATTAAGAGTATAACTATGTCTCACTCAGCCACATTCCACCCCCTTCTCAGGGATAACCCTTATCTAGAAGCTGATGAACATTAAGAGTATAACTATGTCTCAGCCACTTTCCACCCCCTTCTCAGGGATAACCCTTATCTAGAAGCTGATGAACATTAAGAGTATAACTATGTCTCCCCAGCCGTTTCCCCCTCTTCTCAGGGATAACCCTTATCTAGAAGCTGATGAACATTAAGAGTATAACTATGTCTCACTCAGCCACGTTCCACCCCCTTCTCAGGGATAACCCTTACCTAGAAGTTGATGAACATTAAGAGTATAACTATGTCTCAGCCACGTTCCACCCTCTTCTCAAGGATAATCCTTATCGAGAAGTTAATGCCTATCATTCCTGTAGTTATTTTTTCTTTCGCATGTATATTTGTGTGTATATATAAATTTTTACATCAGCAGTATCATTGTATAAATTCTTTTGCCATGAGAATTTGGCAAAAGAATGTATGCAATGTATAATATAATTTGTAACTCAACATTAGATTCTTGATAAATGAAGATTCATTGTAATTTTTGTATAGTTTTTATTGTTTATTCACACATCCACTATTTATCCTTTCTCTACCAAAGAGCAGTTAGGTTGTTTTCCACTTTTTTGCTATTTAAAAACCTACAGGCCAGGTACTGTGGCTCATACCTGCAATCCCAACACTTTGGGAGGCTGAGGCGTGTGGATCACTTGGAGTCAGGAGTTGAGACCAGCTTGGCCAACATGGTGAAACCCTATCTCTACTAAAAAATACAAAACTTAACCAGGCATGGTGGTGCAGGCCTGTAGTCCCAGCTACTTGGGAGGCTGAGGCAAGAGAATTGCTTGAACCCGGGACGGGGAGGTTGCAGTGAGCCAAGATCGTGCCACTGCACTCCAGCCTGGGCAACAGAGTGAGACTTCCTCTCAAAAAAATTAATTCATTTAATTTAATAAAACATTGCTGCAATAATCACCTTTGAACATGTCTTCTAGGGTTCATGGTCTTGGAGTTTTTTCTTTAAACAAAATCTAGATAGAAAACTAAAAATGGGCAGGGCACAGTGGCTCACACCTATAATCCCAGCACTTTGGGAAGCTGAGGCAGACAGATCACTTCAGGTCAGGAGTTCGATACCAGCCTGGCCAACATGGTGAAACCCTGTCTCTATTAAAAATACAAAGATGTTAGCCAGGTGTGGTGGTGTGCACCTGTAATCCCAGCAACTTGGGAGGCTGAGGCAGGAGAATTGCTTGAACTTGGGAGGCAGAGGTTGCAGTAAGCCGAGATTGCACCACTACATTCCAGCCTGGGCGACAGAGCAAGACTTCATCTCAAAGAAAAAAAAAAAAAAAAGAAAGAAAGAAAAAAGATCCAGAAAACTAAAAATGAAATCACTGGATTTGTAGAGTCTGCAATTCTACTTTAGTAGGCAATACTGAATTGCACTATATTCTCATTAACAACTCATATAAGTTTGTATTTTACTACATCCATGTAAACAAGATGTTATTAGACTTTGAAACTAGACAATCTTTTGTTTATGAAATGGTATCCCCAGGTGCCGTGGCTCACGCCTGTAGTCCCAGCACTTTAGGAGGTGGAGGAAGGCAGATCACTTGAGGTCGGGAATTTAAGACCAGCCTGATCAAAATGGAGAAACCCTGTCTCTACTAAAAATACAAAAAAATTGGTTGGGCATTGTGGCACATGACTGTAATCCTAGCTACTTGGGAGGCTGAGGCAGGAGAATCGCTTGAACCTGGGAGGCGGAGGTTGCGGTGAGCCAAGACTGGGTCATTGCATTCCAGCATGGGCAACAAAAGCGAAACTCTATCTGAAAAAAAAAAAAAAAGAAATGATATCATGATTTAATTTGCATTTCACTGATTACTAGAGAGATTGAAATAACTTCACATTTTTATGTTTTGTATTTTCCTCTTTATAATCTTTTGTTTTTATTTTTTCTAGTAATAAAAGCATAGGAAGTCTTTATATATTCTGGATACTAATTCTTTATCAACCACCTATGTTGCAGATATCCCCACAGATAAACGGTGCCGTAATCTATGATAAACTAAGTTCCCATGTGTACTTTGGGTCTAGGATTTTCAAAACCATTTCTGGATCCCTTTTAACAGTCCTTGCTCTAGCTTCTCTCTTTCCTGTCATATTTTACTATAAGCAGCAAGAAGCCAGGTAGCAACTTTGACATTTTGCTTGGAGATCTAACTAGAGTATCTAGCTTTTTAGGTACATTTTTCTGTGTTCCACATTACTCTAGGTGATCATGTTAAACATTCTGGCATTACGTAACTAAGGAACCTCTTATTTCCAGTTTCCAGTAACATTCTCACTTTTGAAGTGGCTACTGCGGGCAGTCTCCTTCAAGACTATTTTTTTTCTAGGATGGTTTGTTTCTCAAGGGACCATCAATTTCTACTAATAGTCTGTTTTTGTTTTTGTTTTTTGAGATGGAGTGTCACTCTGTCATCCAGGCTGGAATACAGTGGTACGATCTTGGCTCACTGCAACCTCCATCTCCTGGGTTCAACCAGTTCTGCCTCAGCCTCCCAAGTAGCTGGGATTACAGGCACCTGGCATCATGCTTGGCTAATTTTTATATTTTTAGTAGAGACAGGGTTTCATCATGTTGTCCAGGCTGGTCTCAAACTGACCTCCAGTGATCCACCCACCTCAGCCTCCCAAATGCTGGGGTTACAGATGTGAGCCACCATGCCCGGCCTACTTTCACAGTTTCTATGGGTTAGGAATTTTGAGGGGGTAGCTTAGCTGGGACAGGAAGATCTACTTCCACCATGGCTCACTCAGATGACTATTGACAAGAAGCCTCAGTTCCTCTCTGGCTCTTGGTAGAAAGTCTCAGTTCCTCAACAAAGAACTTTGTTTTTTTTCAATTTTATTTACTTCTTTTTTTTTTTATTTTTTTTATTTTGAGACAGAGTTTCACTCTTGTTACCCAGGCTGGAGTGCAATGGCGTGATCTCAGCTCACCGCAACCTCCACCTCCTGGGTTCAGGCAATTCTCCTGCCTCAGTCTCCTGAGTAGCTGGGATTACAGGCACACGCCACCGTGACCAGCTAATTTTTTGTATTTTTAGTAGAGATGGGGTTTCACCATGTTGACCAGGATGGTCTCGATCTCTTGACCTCGTGATCCACCCGCCTCGGCCTCCCAAAGTGCTGGGATTACAGGCGTGAGCCACCGCGCCCGGCCGTATTTACTTCTTTTTTGGAGACAGGATCTTACTTTGTCACTCAGGGTGGAGTGCAATGGCATAATCATAGCTCACTGTAGCCTCAAACTCCTGGGCTCAAGTATTCATCCCATCTCAGCCTCCCAAGTAGCTGGGACTACAGACATGTACCACCGTGCCCAACTAATTTTAATTTTTTTGTAGAAATGGGGTCTCACTGTTGCCCAGGCTGGTCTCCAACTCCTGGACTCAAGCAGTCCTCCTGCTCCAGATTCTCCAAGTGCAGATTTGTACCAGCCAGAAAGGGACATTTTCATAGGGCTTTTTAAGTGTCCCCAGGACACTACAATGGGCTTCCTATAGAGTGAGCAATCCAAGAGAGTAAGGAGGAACCCACAACGTCTTTGTGACCTAGTCTTGGAAGTCAAACACCACCAATTCTGATTCTATTCATCAGAACCAAGTGACCTCAGGTGATCCACTGGCCAAAGTGCTGGGATGACAGGCACGAACTACCATGCCTGGAAAGAAATTTTTAAATTTCTTTAAGTGTTAGTTATCCTTAAAAACAACTTAAGTGGTTAATTATAAAAGTTGGATTCCTTTGTCCTAAAATTGGTTTAAAAAATTAAAAATGTGTTTGATTTCTATTCAGTTTGTTTGTTTTGAGACAAAATTTCACTCTTGTCGCCCAGGCTGGAGTGCAATGGCGGGATGGCTCACTGCAAACTCCACCTCCCAGGTTCGAGCTATTCTCCTGTATCAGCCTCCTGAGTAGCTGGGATTACAGGCGCCGCCACTATGCCCGGCTAATATTTCTATTTTTAGTAGAGTCAGGGTTTCACCATGTTAGCCAGGCTGGTCTCAAACTTCTGACCTCAGGTGATCCACCCACCTCGGCCTCCCAAAGTGCTGGGATTACAATCATAAACCAGCGCGTCTGGTCCTTTTATTTAAGTTTCTAGTATTCATGTACACATGTACCCTTTTTTAGAATTGTTAAAAATGCCCCAGCCTTACTAAGATTTTTCCTAAGACAAGTTCGTCTCCCAGACATTGGGAACTCAAAGAGGAGGTGAGGAAACTTAGGTGTGAAGGTGGATTGTGGATTCAGACCACCTGACCTCGAGGCCAGCTCACAGGCGCACCAGCAGAGTGACCTCCGGCACATGGCTTCACCTCGCAAAGCCTGATACTCCTCATCAGTAAAGCCAGGGTTAGGGGAACCTACCTTTTGGCTTGTTTTGATAATTAAATGAGATAGTGTTCACAAAAAATACTTGGAAGATAAATGTTAACTGAATTTTGAGCTTTTAAAAATGTTTAACTGGCTGGGCACAGTGGCTCATCATGACTGTAATCCCAGCACTTTGGGAAGCTGAGGCAAGTGGATCACCTGAAGTCAGGAGTTCGAGACCAGCCCAGCCAACATGGTTAAACCGTGTCACTACTCAAAATACAAAAATTAGCTGGGCATGGTGGTGGACGCCTACATCCTAGCTACTCAGGAGGCTGAGGCAGGAGAATCGCTTGAACCCAGGAGGCAGAGGCTGCAGTGAGCCAAGATCCAGCCACTGCACTCCAGCCTGGGCTATAGAGTGAGACTCCGTCTCAAAAATAATAAATAAATAAAAAAGGGCCGGGCGCCGTGGCTCACGCCTGTAATCCCAGTACTTTGGGAGGCCAAGGCAGAAGGATGAAGAGGTCAGGAGATCGAGATCATCGTGGCCACGGTGGTGAAGCCCTTTCTCTACTAAAAATACAAAAATTAGCGGGGCGTGGTGGCAGGCGCCTGTAATTCCAGCTACTCAGGAGGCTGAAGCAGAAGAATCCCTTGAACCTGGGACGCAGAGGTTGCAGTGAGCCGAGATTGCACCATTGCATTCCAGCGTGGCGACAGAGTGAGACTCCATCTCAAAACAAACCAACAAACAAAAACCCAAAAACGTCTAACTGAAAAGACTTGGGGCTGTTGAACAGAAAAAGCTCTCTTGCCCTTTATAAAAACCCAAGTGAACCGCTGAAGAATTCTTAAATGAGCAAATGAGGCGGGGAGCGGGGTGGATTAATAAGTCTCTTTCTACACTGTAAGGCTTTTCTAACACCTTGTTGCTACTGAAAATCTGAAAGCCTCTCTCGGCCGCAGCCTACACTCCTTCGGCCCAAGCAGGTGCTCTGGAACCCGGAGTTGGTAGGAAGCCAGCTGTCCGCAGCCCCAGCCCTTAGCGGCCCCGCGGTCAGCTACCTCCGGGCCCGATGGAGAGTAGGGGCTGCCGAGCGGATGCGCGGCGGGGACTGGAGGTGTCGCCGCTCCGGCTAGCGGTTGACAGGGGCAGGCGGGCCTTGAGCGGGCCCCGACTCCAGCGATCGCGGCCCCGCCCCTGCTCCTCCTCCTTCACGGCTTACCCGGGCTCTGACAGTGGCTGCCCAGGTCCGAGTTGCGGCCGCAGGAACCCGAGCTATGGGGGCTGCAGAAGGAAAGGCGCTCCCGGGGCTTCTGCCCCTGCTGCTGCTGGCCGGGGCCGGGCTGTCCGCCGCCTCTCTCCCAGCAGCGCCGCGCTTCAACGTGAGCCTGGACGCGGCCCCCGAGCTGCGCTGGCTGCCGGTGCTGCGGCACTACGACTTGGACTTGGTGCGCGCCGCTGTGGCGCAAGTCATCGGGTGAGCTGGGCCCCTGGACGGGGTCTGCGGGGACGCAGGCGGCGCGGGTCGGAGTCAGACGCGCGCTGCCCAAAGTGTTTTAAACCCGGACGCTTTACTCCCCGCTCCTGGGAGAACTGGCTTTGGCCGCCGCCCTGAGCAGGGTCGGCCTTGGGGAGAATCCAGTGCGGCAGGTTCAGCTTCCAAGTTCAGTGTCACCCGGGGCACGCCAGTCCTTGAGCCATTCCGGGTCAGGGTGGGGCGCGGGTTGTCGCCCGGGCTACGTAGCTACCGAGGAGGGACAACCTGCGACTTCCTTGCGGGCCTCGCGGGCCCTCCAAGCCTGCCCTGGGACCAGCCTCATTCGCCCTCCCCATCTCCCAGTTTTCTTCCTCGCCCGCCCCCGGGGGGGCTGCGGATCGAGTGACGCGGCACCGGAGCGGTCCGCTGTCTGGGGAGCGGTGGCCCTGAGCGCTCACCCCCTCAGGATGTAGTCCCGCTCCCAGTACACAGGCGGTCGCATGTCGCCGACCTCTGAGCGGGTCAGACGCCCTCCTGCTTTTCGTTTCCAGGGATAGAGTCCCCAGATGGGTGCACGTGTTGATTGGAAAAGTGGTCCTGGAGCTGGAGCGCTTCCTGCCCCAGCCCTTCACCGGCGAGATCCGAGGCATGTGCGACTTCCTGAACCTCAGCCTGGCCGACTGCCTCCTGGTCAACCTTGCCTACGAGTCCTCCGCGTGAGTGCCCCAAGCCGGTGCGGAATAACGCGGGGCTTGCGGCGGGGGGCCTCCTGACACAGACTAGCAGGAGGAGACATGCTTTCCGTGTGATAAAAACAGGGTGGTGCCTGCTTGCCCAGAAACCTCCAGCGCTTCCTCTGCCTCTCTGGGTAAATCTGAGCTGCAAATCGTAGGCTTCGAGAGGGAAAGCAGCTTCTCTGACTCAACACCGAAATTTCCTCTCCCAGTAGCCCCGGGTTTTCTCTCCCCCAACTCAGGTAGCATCCTACTTTTAAAATTCTGCTCAAAACGTACTTTTCCAGGAAGTTTTTGAAACTAAGCCTCCTTTCATCTGGACCCTTTAGTGAACTCAGTGGCCTTCCAGATCTATACTGGCAGTGGCTCATCTCTGCCCTTATTTGTTGCCCTGCATTTATCTTTCATGTGTGTCATGGCTGAAGTGTCTGTGTCCACCAGGGATGGGACCACAGGGAAAACTGCTCTAATAGCGTCAGCCAGTGTTTGGACCGGGAAGTGGGCATGATAAAATGTGCACCCAGGCCGGGCACGGTGGCTCACGCCTGTAATCCCAGCACTTTGGGAGGCCTGGGCAGGCAGAACACCTGAGGTCAGGAGTTCAAGACCAGCCTGGCCAACATGGTGAAACCCCCATCTCTACTAATAATACAAAAAAAATTAGCTGGGTGTGGTGAGGGGGGTGCCTGTAATCCCAGCTACTCGGGAGGCTGAGGCAGGAGAATGGCTTGAACCCAGGAGGCAGAGGTTGCAGTGAGCTGTGATGGCCCTATTGCACTCCAGCCTGAGCGACAAAGGAAGACTCCATATATATATATGGGCCAGGCGAGGTGGCTCACACCTGTAATCTCAGCACTTTGGGAGACCATCCTGGCTAACACGGTGAAACCCTGTCTCTACTAAAAATACCAATAATTAGCCGGGCATAGTGGCACACGCCTGCAGTCCCAGCTACTCGGGAAGCTGAGGCAGGAGAATTGCTTGAAGCCGGGAGGCGGAGGTTGCAGTGAGCCGAGATCGCACCATTGCACTCCAGCCTGGATAACAAAGCAAGAACTCCGTCTCAAAATAAATACACGAATAAATAAATAAATAAATAAAATTGTTAAAGTGCACCCAGAAGTAAAAGTAACTTGGAGTGTGCGGTTGATCCCAGGCAAAGTGCAGGGGTTTATGGGCTCAGCAGCAGGTCTCGGAATAAAGAGGTTTGACTTGGTTTCTCCCTTTAATACTTACGGTTTTGCCACCAGACTAGCTTCATCTCTTAACATCTTGTACATAGTTAGAGCTTCTTGCTGCCTAAAGATGATGGGGGTAGAAAAGATCTTGGAGTAATGAAACTTAACTGGCCCAGGCATCTTCCTAGAACACCTAGGCAGAGTAAGCAAAGCAGCACTGACTGCCTTCCTCTTCAGGAAATGCTTTCAGGCACAGAAAAGACACAGGTTTGGTAAATAAAGTGCTTTTCAGTTGAACTAAGTTATTATAATTTTACCACCTCCCTCTCCTACCTCCAACTTTTTCCTATTTTTAAGTTAAGGCTTTCTCAATGAAAAATCACGAATCATTTTTACCTTCATCTGTTGGAGTCACCATATTCAAACAGATTAAAGCAGAAGTTCTAGTAAAAACATTCTAACTTTTGGATTTGATACTAAGGTATGTATTGTATTGCCTAATAAAAAGCACCCTTCAATTCTCTAGCATTGACAAAGGAAATGCTTTCTTCTCATCTTGGAAGTAAGCCTTCTTCAATTAGAATAATACTAGCTACCCTTTAGTGAGCCTACTGGGTGCCAGGCACTTCATGAACACAGCCCCATGAGGAAGATGGTATCATCTGTTTTGTGATGTGGAAACCAAGCCTCAGAAGGTCCACCTTGCTGGAGGTCAGGTTGCTGGTGAGTGCTGAAAGCACGTGGACCTCCAGTGGCTGCAGTGCCTCTCAGAGCAGAGCCTGTTTCCTCATTTGTCTCCGGCACTTGTACACTGCTACATCACACTACATTTGGCCATGATATGAAAGTATTGCTATCTTACCAATTTCGAAAAATCACCTTTGAGACAGATTCTACAAACTCTGCTTTGATACTTCCCATGTCTTACCAGTCCCCTCCCTGACCTGAACTCTTTGAAGTTAAGCTCAGAACCATGGAAGGAGGCGGGGCACAGTGGTTCATGCCTGTAATCCCAGCACTTTGGGAGGCTGAGGTGGGTGGATCTTTTGAGCCCAGGAGTTCGAGACCAGCCTGGGAAACATGGTAAAACCTTGTCTCTACATAAAATACCAAAAAAATTAGCCAGACGTGGTGGCATGCATCTGGGTCCCAGCTGCTCGAGAGGCTGAGTGGGAGGATGGCTTGAGCCTGGGAAGTCAAGGCTGCAGTGAGCCGAGACGGTGCCATTGCACTCCAGCCTGGGTGACAGAGACTTAAATAAATAAACAAAGAAATAAAAAACAGAAACCTTAGAGGGAATTAAAACCTGACCAAGGCTCCATCTTTAAACAAACAACAAAAAAGTAACACTTTATTCCTAATTATAAAAGTAACATGTAATCATTGTAGAAAATCAGTAAATGTAGAAAAGTAAAAAGAACAAAGCTAACCACCATTCTGTTATTCAAAAGTGACCAGAAAAAAGCCTTCAGGATATTTTCTCTCAGTTTTGTTCATGTGGATATACATACCTTTCCCCCCTGGTATTGGACATACTGTATATAAATATTTTTTCATGTACCTTTAAATATTCTCAGAGAATATGGATATTTGGATATTTAGGTATTTGACAAGCTTCCTCCTCTTTTTCTCAGAATACTTACGTTCATAGAGATTCCCCTTTTACTATTATTATTATTATCTCTGTGCAAGGGGCTGAGAGAGACAGAAAAAGTGCCAAGCCCCTAAAGTGCCAGCCATTTTCCCAAGGGGACAAAGTAAAACATTTGTGAAACAATGGTTTAGTGCTGGTCTACTTGCTCTGAGGAATTCATATATGGAGAGGTGAGCTTGAGCTGGCTTTGAATAATGTGTTAAATAGAATACATACTACCAAGCAGAGGAAAAAGCAGAGTTCAGAGGTATCCTGAGCCCAGGATAGGTTAGTTTCACTTAGGAATTAGACTGAGGATGAAATTCTTAACTTACTATGCTTATGATGCCATCCCTGTGTGCTAAGGGCAAAGAGCCTAGAAACACTGAATGAACATAGATGAATTGTATCCAGTTGTATGTTTCGTCTTGAATTGTGAATCTATATTCTTGTACAACCATTATACCATTTATGTCAGTTATAAGGAAGAGAAACTATTTTACTTTGAGGACTTGTTTTACAAATGAAAACTCCTTTTCCTTTTGTTCTTATTTGTCTTACTCATTCATGTTGGACTTTTCCCTTTTCTCAGATTCTGCACCAGTATTGTGGCTCAAGACTCCAGAGGCCACATTTACCATGGTCGGAATCTGGATTATCCTTTTGGGAATATCTTACGCAAGTTGACCTTGGATGTGCAATTCTTAAAGAATGGGCAGGTATAGTCCGTACTGTATAAGATAAGAAATCAGAAAGATTTGCTAACTCAAGTTAGCTGTCATTTGAATGGCCTGCTAACTTAAATGTGTTATCAGTGTAAGACACAAAAAACATCACACCCCTGGAAAAACAAAGCCCAAAGAGAGGTTTACATCAATTATGCTCATAGGAAGGACAGTCATTTATTATTATTGAGCATCTACTTGAAGAGGTCACTCAGTTTTCCTTAGGGACATCTCTTTTAGAGAGTGATGAATTATCTGCTTATGCAGAGTCAGCTCTTTTCTCTGCTTTCGGAATAGGGAGGGGCTGGGTAGTGCCATAACTAGGAACACCCAACTTTGGGATCTGACAGTCCCAGGTTTGAATCCTGATTCTATCAATTACTGTACTTCCTTTGTGAACCTGAGAAATTACTCATATAATAATTTGGCAGACTGCAGCTCGTGGAGGCTCATAACTACTTTACTGAGATAGTTACAAATGTTAAAAGAAGTCATCTATGTAAAACCATGTAGTAGGTGCCTGATAAGTTGTAGCCAAATAATAAATGGTCCTTCATTCTGCAAGTATGATTGACCACACCACTCTCTTAGGTATCATCTCTAAAAAATTATAC